CCCCCCCTTCTCCTCCCCCCCCCCCCCCCCCCCCCCCCGCCCCCCCCCCCCCCCCTCCCCCCGGACTCCCCCCCGCTCACCCCTCCGCCACCCTCTGCCCCCTATCAGTGTTCACCTCGAGTTTCACCCATCCAACATGGGCCTGGCAACTCCAGCTCAAACCCACAAGCCAAGCGAAACAGACAAACAACAGCAGCACTACAGAAGACGTGACTAAGAAACACAAGGTTCTGCGAGTGCATACAAGGAGGACAGCGGAAGGTCGAAAGCCGCCCACGGAAGACTACAACTATATGATAGCAGATGGGAATGGTGGCTACACTCCCCTTGGTACAGGGGCTAAAAGGGGGGAAACCCCTTTCACTCTGCAAAGATTCCCTACGGCCACAGGCGGCACCGACCTCACTACTCCCTGTCATCAGCAAACACAAAGGGCCCAAAAGCCCTGCCATCTCAAGTCGGGTACACCTGCCCTCACCACGCCCCCGGGGGACGGGCAACAAGAAGGACAGTGAACTCTGCCAGCATATGGCAGCTGTCCAAACATTTGTCAGTCATTGGTATGTAATGTAATATGAGGGGCGCTGGACCCGGTTTCCAGCAGGTGCAGCTCCCCACCAATAGATGGAGCCTTCAACTGGGGACCCACTTAAGGAGACTTCTCTTATCACCTCCCTAAGTGGTATCTGTGACTCGAAGTTTAAAAAAAAAAAAAAAAAAAAAAAAAAAAAAGGCCAACAAGGTCATGATTCATGGAAGAGGAAAACACACAAAGTATCCGGGAAGTTCTAGCGGACGTTTAGAATACCTACCTCTTCCCTCTCCTCTCTGGCTTTCTGTTGAAGTTCTTCAAGTCTCTGTCGTCTCTCGGATGCCAAATGAAACAGGCGTTCAGCCACACCCACAGACTGCTTTTATCTCTTGCACGCACACGTGACCTCATCAGACACATGCACCATCAAACAACGCATAACACATAACAGGGCAACATCTTTAATAAAAAACTGATCAAAGGCGTAAAACTGCATAAACGCACAACATCCTGTCTCACTTCGCTGTTGATTGTCCACATTACCCACACCTCTCATTTGTGTTTTCCAACTGTTGAAAGGACTACATGAGTATCGGCATCCTGTAGAAGTCCCAATCCCATGTCTCCAAGTCCCATTTACTAAAGTACCAGCCTGGTAGGTAGGTAAGTCAAAGACTACCGTCTTCACCCGAACAGAATGCCCGGTCGTTATAGCTGTATTTGGTGCAACATCCAGTCCAGATACAACCATAATTACAAGGCGTTCTACTTGCAATGGGCGAAGATGGTAGGCCCATAGGACCAGTAGACTGTAGGTTTAGCAGTCCAGTGCAATGGGCGAAGATGGTAGGCCCATAGGACCAGTAGACTGTAGGTTTAGCAGTCCAGTGTACGGCCTGCACAGTCCAGTCCAGTCCAGTCTGTTCAAGTCAGCGGCCCAAGTCCGAAGAAACTGACCATTCCGAATGGGTCGAAGGCCAACCACGGCCTGCAAGAGCGAGGGTCCTCAATCCGGAAAGGGTCCGACAGCAATTGGGGTCAACAAAAAGGGGGGGGGGAAACATTTTCCACTCGGGTGTGCTGCGGAACTGCTGCTGTGGTCTTGTGCGACCATAACATCAAGTGTGGCAGAGTCCGAAAGACGTTGCTGTAGTCAACAGGCACTGAGCACCATAGCTTTAGTCGAGTGAGCGTGTGAGTGAGGAAGACATTCGGAGAGGAAGAGAGGTCTGCTCGTAGAGTGCGACAGAGAGAGAGGAAGCAAGTTCATTCTTGGTTGTTGTTGCTGGCGCCCATAGCCGCCCAGTTTGTACAAGCAAACTCTTTTTCCCTTTTGTGAACACTGCTCCTTTCTATTGGTGGGGAGCAGCACCTGCTGGAAAACGGGTCTAGTGTATAACCAAACTTGTTGCATAAGACTTCAATTTCCGGTCGATCCTTGGAGTTCTGATATTACATGCTGGATATCCACTCTTTCGGTGATGAAGTGTGCGATTTGTGCGCTGTGAGATGCTGTTCAAACTGTGGGCTCATTGCACTGCTCTCTCTCTCTCTCTCTCTCTCTCTCTCTCTCTCTCTCTCTCTCTCTCTCTC